TAGTAGTAGTAGTAGTAGCAGCGTGCTAGTGTAGCAAGAAGAAAACAAGCAGCCACAAAGGCTTTGCGAGGCACAGTTGCGCACGTGCGCCAGAAATACACCATCCCACCTCCTTCTTCAACCACCCGAAGTATGCCTGAGCTCCTTCAGGGTAAGCCCAGTGCTTGGCTCGATTTTGTAATGATGCTGTTCCTACGATTGCTCCACGGCTTTCGGCGATTACGAATTACAATTTCCAGTGATTCGACAGATGCCCCTGCTACTGCCAGAACTTCTACGCACAACCAGCATTGAGAACCCAGCAGTTGCTACGTCTAGTATTGCTATGCCCATGTCACAGTGTTGTGATGTGGTTCCGAGTTAACAGAATGTTGGAATTACTCGTAAGGCGGAATCGCGTTGCAACTCTTGCCACTGCTGGAGAGACAGCTACCAGTTCTGCAGCTGTTTCTGCTGCGACTACTGCTACTACCTCTACTATTGCGGCAGCAACAACAACAACAACTGCTGCTACTACTACTACTACTACTACTAAACACTACGACGACGACGACGACGACGACGACGGCGGCGGCGACGACTACTACTCCCACTACTACTACTACTACTACTACTACTACTACTACTACTACTACTCCTACTACTACTACTACTACTACTAAACACTACGACGACGACGACGGCGGCGGCGACGACTACTACTGCCACTACTACTACTACTACTCCTCCTCCTGCTGCTGCGCAGCAGCAGCAGCAGCAGCTTGTGCTAATGCTGCCTTTACTACGACGATGACCACAACTTCGGCTACGCTTCAGTGCAACTTAGGCTGCTACTCTTCCAGTGCTGCCTTTAAGTATGCTTCGCACCGTGTGTGTGTGTGTGTGTGTCTGTTGTCAGAGCTAGTCTCGCTGTTCTCACTTCGCCATGGAATGTCCAAAGTCCGTCGGCAACCACGGCTCTCTAGCGCTGGATACTGGCTCTCTTTAGGGATCGGGCAGCTTGTATGCAACGTCGCTTCCAGAGTCTGCTGACTACCTCGCCGGTTGCTGCTCATGTTCCTCCGCTCCACGCTTGCCTCCGCGACACCCCCCACCCCGTCTCAGTCGTATTTCTGCAATTGCAACCTGCCGTTTACGCTTCATTCATCCCTGAAGACTCTTCATTGCTAGCCCGTCCTGTTCTCGACAAGAACAGACTCTTGCGCCTTAGCTGCTCGGATGAACGTCCAACAACAAGAGCTCTTCCAAATGGTTCAAACGGAAACACGGCACTGCAACAAGCCTTCCAAGATGCATGCAAGGAACATTGATCATCAGTGCCTCCTCCGTCTCATTGACCTCAGACCGAAGCAGCTGGACATCTAAAGGCAATTCCTTGGCTTTCTGCCCATCTGAAATAAAATCCGGCTGTGGCGGTGTAGCGACAGCAGGGCAACTCGAGCGGCTTGGACAGCGCCAAATAAAAGAAACAAAAGCTAGACAATGCTGAAGGAGTTCGACGGCACCCCCTCGACTATTATTAACTTGACATGACATAAGCAAGATCTCGGGCTAAAGTATCCGAAGCCTGTCCGAGGCCATGGAAAATCCCAAACCTGTCGCAAAGGAAGCTGCATGGGAAGGCGCCAGTTGCTCAAGTGGCTCGGGCGCATAAACCAGTGGCCCACGAACGACGCGCTCCTCGCCCGTCAGGCTGTCGACGAGCCGATGGTATTGCGTTTTCCTTGAGACATGCTCAGGGTGCTCACATCACCAAGCAACAGTTTGCAATCGTTAGGACTCTAGGATTCGTTAAAGCTATAGTATGATTATAATCCCGTTGCTTAAGCTGCAATCTTCAAGCGACACTTAGGGAAACGCTGCCCACGTCCAAAGACCAAGGTGCAAAGCTAAGAGGCAAGGTCAACTACTTTCCAGCCCCTTGCGGGTTGGGTTGCTGCAACAATCTGCTGTCTGGACGGTGTACATTACAGTATATAGTACTATTTTAGAGTATGTGACAGTTCTTTAGGACCGGTAGCAGCGCTAGAGTTGTAGAAGCATGCAGACTGAGCGGCTGGAGCTGAAACCTGGGATCAAGACTCACTGGGACGCAAGCAGTATGTTTCTTTCGGCGTGCCACTCTTGCAGGCCGTGTAATTTAGCAGCTACGGTATGCTTGCCGACACGAGAGTACTACGATGCTTACGGTGCCGGGCACATTCCTTCTATGATGAAGGTCTATAGTCAATAGTCTCGACAAGTCAAGATTTGGTTCCTGAGCATGTCAGGGCTTACTGCATTGAGCTACGACTAAACTGCGGCTGCACCGGACACTGCAGGCTTGTTGGATCATGCAGCACTCTGAAGTTTAAGGACACGGCACGGACCAGGTCAGTACCACAGCGATCTATCATGCAATGCGTGTAGCCAGATACCGTTATGTCATGTTCAGGGTGCTTTTATGCATGGCTGGTGCCAGTGGAGTGGTCAGCATGGTGTGGCATGTAACGTAGTTACAGGGCCCTCATGAGGTAGCAGACCAAGTACGCAAGCATGAAGAGCACCCAGACAGGAAGCGGCCAGAAAGGCCCGAAGGGAAAGTGTCATGCTACTCCATTTCAACTTCACACAGAATTTCGCTTCAGCAGGCTGATACCGTTGTTCTTCTGACCGGCAGATCCCAAGCTACGGAGTGTGTGTCGGGAGGTGACTTCCTACACGCTGCTTAGCGGAGGACTTCGACTTCCATGGCAACCGTCCTTCTGCGAAAATGAATCAACACAGGTTTGGTATCTGATGCACATGAAACGACGTGCCTTAAAAGCTGAGTCGTCCGGGATCTCGAGGGCGTAGACGCATGCAAAGTCACGGGCCGACTTCCCATTGGCCGATCAGGTTCACAGGCCAGTGCTTCTTGCTTCATTACAGCTAAAGCCAAGAGATTGCTATCACGATTCATATGCGCCCTCAGGAGCTTTTTGACTGAGTATGAAGGATGAACCTTGAATCCTAAACCCTTCACCACGAAACTCATACCAAAGGGCGTTGCCTAGTGAATAAGACACCCCACCAAGCTCAGATTGGACACTTCTGTCGCACTGCGTCCATATCCTGCCACAAGCTGCAAGTCGCGTCGGACATGTTCGAAAGAAGCAGCGGGGTCGAGCAAAGGCAGGTCTTGCTTGGTCTGCCGTGCCGTGGTATTCGGGAAAGATGCTGAGCTGATATTGCACGAGCTGTTTGCTGCATGCATTGAGTTAACTCAAATGCGAGCTCTGACCGCCCTGGCAGGCAGCCCGTGAATTCGGATGGGCTTCTGAATGGTCCTTCGAAATATGCTTTTGCAGACCCTCTTGGCCCTCAACCTGCGCACGCAGGTCATCATAAGTCTAGAGTAAAAATACCGAAATCCGTGCAAACCAAAGCGAGGGCCGTTGTTGTGGGGGGTACAGTACTTTATGAATGCTCACAAAATTATACTTAAAAGCTTTTTAGACGTACAAAAAAAGGAATCTCCGCAGCTACTGAAGTCCTCCATCTCGCGTCGCCAAACCAGGCCGGGTCCGAGAACGTGTCGCAGCTCCTGCTGCGAAGTCCCTGATGTACAACTTCATAACTTATAATAGTATTATGACAGCATTATGATAGAATGAAAACATAGTTTTATAATAGCATTATAACAATACTGTCAAACAGAAATACTGTTAAATCTAATATTTCCTAACAGTCTATTCTGCATCTATTGAATTCTGTTGTATTATATTATGCTACACTGTTTTGTACTGTATTATACAGTAATGTATAATGCTATAGTGTATTGCCTTCGATTACATAATAATGTTCTAATAGATTGCAAAATATTGAATCATACTGCATTTTTTATGTTACATTATAGTAAACACTATTTTTATATGACATTGTATTAAGCTACATTACATTATGTTATATATATATACCGATGTTGTAATGTACCATAGCATATTACATTGTATTATCTTGTGTGGTATTATGTTATTATTAAATATCAGTATGTGTTATTATCTTGTACTAAACGAAAAACACTGTATAATGCTATACATGTGAAATACACACATATATATATACATACAACAGAGAGAGAGAGAGAGAGAGAGAGAGAGAGAGAGGGAGGAGAGAGAGGAGAGAGAGAGAGAGAGTGTGTGTGTGTGTGATATATAATAATATAGTAAATGTGTGTATATGCAGGCTCTGAGAGCAAATTACGGCTACAAGGCCTCGTGGATCCCTTTGGCAGCGGTCCTGTGACCGTCGGTTCTTCAAAACCTGCAGCTTCAATTTGAGGCGAGGGTACTGCAGTCTAAACAGTCATGTGAAATCAGAACCGCTCCGCTTTAGACTCACAGAAGTCTCCCTGAAACAAAGGCATTAGGACAAGTTGTCGCATAGCCAAAGATGGCCTTCAAGAACTCACGGCCATGTGTTCTTCACTCGGGCTTCGATTCAGAGCAGGGATTTACATAAGTGGGGTCATCTTGGCAAGGTAAGGGGTTCAGGGCCGGCAGATAGGGCTGGGCTCTTGCAGATTTCGCTCGACTTGCATGCTGCGACGACTTGAGGAAAGAATGCATGCAAACAAACTGAGATGCGAGATTCGGACCCACATGCCAACCGCCTCACCCTAAACCTAACAACCATCTGAACAGGCAACATGGCCCGGCGAATTCGGGATTCCATGTTGCACGCTGAGTCCACGGCAGCAAACTCTAGCGTGGCAATCCGCGGCACTTTCCGAACTTCCTGCATGGTGGGACGGTGGCAGCTGTGATGCCACGGGTGCTGAGGATGATGAGGACCAGGAAGTGTAGGACGAGGATGACCGGTTGGAGGACTAGGAGTCGAGTCGATGACAACTCGGACGATCAACATACAGACAGTACCCGGGAGCTGAACAAAACTGCATCCGAATTCAAACCTTGACAGCAACAACGATTTCGCAAGGCTGCACCTGCGAGCCCACTTGTTTATCTTAAGGACCACACAAAAGTTTGAAGGTACAAGTAGCTAAAACCGCGCTGGCAATTGAAAGCTGGACAGTCGAAGACGACCTAACTGCAGCATCCTGCAACCTAACGCGTATGAGCCATGCCTGAGCGGAGCCTTGGCGATAATCATGAACTGTAGAAGCAAATGCAATGTGGATCAGGACGGCCGTAATGATGTAATGACAGGAACCGCTGCTTTATCACCATAGCTGTTCTCCGAATCGTCAAGTGCACATTTACTGCGCCGGGAAGAATCAGACCCCAAACAAAAGTACAGGACAATGAGCCAAGTTTCCCAGCCCTCGTGCCGTTGATGTGGCCACAACACCAGTGTGCCAGGCCCGTTCCTGGCCGCAGCAGCGTGCACAAGCCTTTGTACTAATAATACGAGTCATCATCGCGAGAAGGGGCCGCAGCGAGGCTTTTCGGTTTCGGGCTTAGTAAAGGTCGCCCAATTGGACAAGCTCATCTTTGCACTGCTTCTTTTGCACGGCTGTTTGCTGCCGGAACTCAAAGAGCTCCCGGGACCATGCAGAGGAATACAATATTATTCAATATTATGACAAGGACCTAGTTTCCGTATCATTTGTTCTCGTGATTCCCATGACCTTTTGGGAGAACGGCTCTATAGACTCTAGCCTGCAAAGCCTGCTGCCTCCAAGACCGAGTCCAATTCCACTTCTACCACGACTCACTCAATACAGTACTGCTTTGTTTCACGCCACGTGCGACCACATGAGTTCAGGGGCTTGGGCTACTATGCATTCCTTGTCACAATCACAAGAGTGGTCCCTTGATCGTGATACTCTCCAAATCCTTGCTCTCTCCTGTGCCAAGCCCGTCTGGCTTTGGGATCAACTGCTAACCAGATTTGGGCTCGTCAAAGAGCATAAGCATTCTCCGCATTCGAGAGATTTGGATGTAACGTTTCTCTTCTGCTGGGTGTGCTTCAAGCAGAAGCCTTACGTCCAAGCCTGATCCACTCGCCGTACAGGGTCGGCACCACAAGCTGTTCGTCCTCATGAGAATAGACTCGGACCGAAGCCCTAAGTTGCCCAGAGCCCCCTAAACGATCTGAAAGTTCGCCAACTATCAATAGCGACTCTAGCTGCCGAAGTTCTGAGATGTTCTGAGTATGGGGGTTGCCCGCCCTTCGCTGCTACTGAAATGCTGTCAATAAACGCCTGCCGCGAATTCAGAACAACTCCGGAGACGTCCTTGCTGCTTGTCTAACTGTTCAGAGTTGCATGCACCAGCTGCGCCACAAGGTGCAATTACAGACTTCCGGCGGGTCCTCTCGGAGGTTGACAATGTGGACGAGCATGATGAAAATGAATAACACCTGCCCGGCAAACCCGGAAGAATCGCACGGAAGCCACTGCGACGAGCGACAGGCTGGACTGACCCCCATGCTGCTGTCGACACGACTTCAACAAGATGAATAGGTGTTGAGCTGTCTTCACGTCCGGGTGTTGTCATGCGTTGTCTACATCAGCGCAGTCGTAACAAAACTTTTAAAACTCTCTTCAAAACGGCCACGACTTCGACCTCAGTGACGACGACTGCACCACTGCTAGTGTTTCTGCTTTCGCCACGAAGGCGAAGGATGAGAACGGCAGAGAGATACTGGCGAAGCCCAATGTAATGAACACATCTCGGATAAGCAACTGGAAACTAGATGCCCCAAAACCACTGCCAAGTGCAGTCCCCAGCCCCACTTCCAAAGTGATGCCGAGCCACCAGTCCCGTTACCAGGGAAGCGGGCAGCGCTCCTTCGGGACTGAAAATGCCAGCGGTTTAGGGTTTAGGGCTGGGAGACATCTTGTTGCATCAGTCCCAAGGCTGTGAAAGAAAGGGAGGGCCTGAGAGTTAGGCAAGCGACCATTAAAAATCTGCCGGGCCCGTAAGCAAGGCATCTATCACCTCCAGATACCGCCTAGACGGGCTGAGCGGCAACAACCGGCGGTTCGGCAATCATCCGTCTTTTGGTGGCCCGAGCAGCTGAAAACGCATCTCTTGAAGATGGTCTTGAACGTCCTGGGATGTGCATTGGATGGGGGGCGGCTTGGAATCGAACAGGAGACCACAAGGTGCTGAGAACTGAACTTGAGGTACTACCTCAGGCTGAAGGGACAGATCAGTTACATCTATCTTACTCCTGCTGAGTTTGATGCTGAGTAGAGGAAATGCCTCTTCCTTGAATCTCAAAAGCCAAGACCTGCTGACGATCAGAGGGCTGTAGTCGAAGGACCAGCCCCATCCTGACTGAACGTTTAGGAAAACCACGTCCAGCATGGATAAATATCAGCTACATGTAGAGCCCTGCCGCTTGCTCCACCCTGACAGTTCGGTACTTGAGCCAACCGAGGAAAGACAGCTAGACGAACGGGCCCTCACAAAATCAGCTAGCCAGATGGTCCGAGGAAGCGGTGGAATGCTGAAAACTCCACACCGAGCTGAGGGGCGACTTCTGCTCTGGGAAGACGTAGGAGGCCTGGGGGTCTGCCAATTCCTGAGAGGTTGGTACATGCGTATATCATTCTATAAGTATAGCTGATATCAGGAACTAAGTGCCTATCTACTGGTTTACGTGGTCGTTTGTGAGATATAGTAGGCGCTATATGGTAGTATACATTACATAAAAAAAACCACGCATAACGTCTTAATGAACATGTAGTAAATGTCTTGCAGCACCTTATGAAATTTCTGCAACCTATGTTTTTTGGCACTTACACTTCGTTATCGGTTAACTTGCCTATCTGTCTATTTGCTGATGTACTGACTCATTCGTGCTGTACTTTTCGCCACCATTAGTGATGTTTTGGGTCTGTTACTATACTCATGACTAATGCATAACTGTTCGGCTATCCGTGTGCTATGTACATGTTGCTACAACAAGGAGAAAGAACCAAAGCAATGTTTATGCCATATACGTATACGTACATAATAAATACACGTACTACAAACACAAGAGTTTAGTCACATATGTGGGACATGGCACGGTTGAGGTCATGGCATGGAATCGAGCCTGACAGGGTTGCAGGTCTGTATGATGTGTGGCCAATTGAGCCTACAAATGAGTGTCTGCATGCGGAACCTCTTCAATTCCAAGAGGGTGTAGCAGGTTGGGTAGGGTCAGGTTCATCACGACGGCATCATGATCGAGTCTGGAATCGATTTCAGGTTTCATTTACAAGTAAGGTCAGCTGCTCTGACTACGGAATGAAGGGCTCTACACCGCAAACTGGCTGAGCAAAGCGATCCTACTCGCGGTTATCAAGTTAACGAGGAAGAACGCAGCAACTGGCTATGGAGTTCGGAGTTCTGGTTGGATGGGTGGGCAACGGTGGCTCGAATCTGGACTCCCTTGCTCCCTTTATAAACTCATACTGCTTGGGGCCTTCGCCGTTATAAAGGGCATATAGCGAAGTAGGGGCAAGAAAATGACTGTGCACCGTCCCTAGCATCTGCTTAGCCGCCGCATTGTTGTGTTCTTTCCTGTTTCTGGAGACTGCACTCTCTTGACCCTAAGAGGCTGGGGAAAGATGGTCATGGATGATGGCCGTGCTTTCGGTGCTGCCAAGTTGCATCGTCATCGACATCCTCATCATCATGACCCCGACTGGCCTCGGAATTCTGAAATGTGGAAACATGCATAACCAAGGGAATTCGCAGGGACTTTCACAGGCTACAGGGCATTGTTGAATGAGCGAGCCCCTGCATCGCAGTAGCTGACTCAGGAGGACTCCACGAGAGAACGTGGACGTATGCGTTTGTGTATTAACGCTTCTATGCATGCCCGCGCCTTAGAAGGGAATCCTTAAACCTCAGGCCCGTTTGACTCGCTAATGCCCCGCCCAAGGACTCCGTCGTCGTAGTGTCCTTAGGGCTGCAACTGCCTATCCAGCACCGCCAAGACCTCAAGCTCGAAAGCCCGCAATCGCACCACAGATAGTCTCTGCTAGTCGCGGTGGCTAGACCCCTAAGTTCTTGGTGAAAGCAACCGCTGCCACCAGGAGAACTATGACGGCCACCATGCACACGCCATCCCTACAATCACCAAGTCTCTGTCGATACTACTGCGCAATGAAGCATTCCCCGTGTCCTTAATCCAACCTCTATTTGGAGACAGCTGACGTCGCCGCGGTCTCTGTGGGCGGGGCCCGCTGGATCGGGTCGGGACTCGGCAACCTCGCGGATGAAACCGCGATCCACACGAATTGCCAGCTCGATGACTCTTCTTCTTCTCTTTTTCATTTCCCTTCAAACAACGGCCCAAAAGGGGATGCGAATCGCATGCAGTAGTTGGCCACGAGCATAGCGGAGTGGGCCAGGACTGCAGTATGGTGTTCAGCTGAAAGCTGTGAGCCTAAGACGGAGAAAGTGTGATGGGGTTGGATGACGCCAAGCGACATGAGGCCATCGCGCGCGTTAGTTACCTTTGACGAGTCAGGAGCCAAACCAGTCTACTTTCGGTTTCCCGTGCACATGCGCAGCACGAGTACATAAGCCAGACCAGACCATTGAAAGCATCTGGCTGTGAGGGAAAATAAGAGTTCGCGACCCTGAACGCCTCAAGGGCCCATCAACACACCGCTGTATAGGGAGCAATTTGCCTCGGTCGGGCCTGAGCGACACCTACGCGATCGACGCTGCGAAGCTGCGAGGAGCCGCGGTGTCGCGACACGGCTCAGGCCCTAAATCGAACCCTAAACCCTAACGCGCCCTGACACGCCGGGCACCCTCGCACTTCGCAGCTTTCGGAGCATCTCGCAGCACACCCCCATCTACGCGCTTCTCATCGCAAAGTTTGTCTTTTGTCAAGCTGTCTAGGTTGTACAGGGTTTCAGCATGCCCGTAACAGCTCCACGCCTGAGAAACAAGCCTCAATGCCTGGGCATGCAAGCCTGCAGCCACCGGACGTCAAAGCCCTCAACATGAAAGAAGATGCGTGATGACACCTGCATTGCACCTCCGGTTGTGCAAGACATACAGACGGAATATCAAACGTTCGCAATTCTTTGTCTGCCTGGCGGCGAAACTCTTGCTTTATTCGCCTCGGCCCGGGCCGAAGCGCGGTCAGAGGTTCCTATTCGGACTTCCTCTATTCCCCACCTCTTAATCCCCTCCCCAGTGACCCCACCCCAAAACAGATCTGAGAGGGGGGGGGGGGTCCGTGAAATCTCGCCTCCTCCAACACCCGTGCCCCGACCCCCCCCCCCACCCGCGACCACCCCGGCCCCCCCCGCCTTGCTTCCGCTTTTGCGCGCTTCTCCCCTTCCCCGGTCCTCGTCCGCTCCGCCAACGGCGCCTTCAAGGCACCAGCAGTTCGTTGGCCCTCTTTGTTTGCGGCCGGGCAGAGGCGGACGACACGAAGCGTTTAAAATTATACCAGCAGCAGCAAGAGAAACTATACTCCCAGAGTTATATAGCAGCCATCACTCTCATACCTTGTGCAGGATTTTGTGAGCACCGCTAGCAGCAGTGTGAAGACAAGCGGTGGGGTTCGGTCTCATCAGGTCTCGTTTAGCCACAACCTTCCCAGGGACACGCACGGATTCGCGGTTAGTCACGTCACACGAGTTTAGTCACAGCAAGCACAGCGAAACCCCAAGCGCACATGGTACGGGACAAGACATGAGACAGGCAGAACACCTCCGGAATGAAAGTCATCAAATAGACATATTAGCATGGTTTGCAGGAAGGCCAAAACCGTGACCAACATAAAACCGGTAAAGAGTTCCCCGAATACTTGAGCCAACAGAAACCTCCTCCTCCTCCTCCTCGGCGATGGCATTGGTCCCCTCTGCACCTCGGACAGATCAACTCTGAGGGCCAGGGCTTTCAGGGTTTTGGGTCCAGGTCCCGGAACTACAAAAAAACTAGGTTAAACCCAATCCCTAATTAAGCAATTAACCCCAATTCAAATCTTGAGGTTCTGAATTTGAACTAGTCGGAGGTCGATTCCACAGTTAAAGCGTCAAGCTGTAAGGTTCAAGGGGACAAAATGGCGATGATGTTGATGATGGGCGGCGCAATTATCATCGTCATCGTTATCGTCAGCATCATTACCATCACCGTCACCAGCATCATCCTCATGGGACACACACACTCGCCTAAGTACGCACCAACGTACATGGTTTATATATGCACCACATGTCTCAACGTCTGTCGGTGTGCATGCACGTCTGTATGCATGCATGTCCGCTTGTAGCAGGTTGTGCCGTTGCATCCAAGGGGCCTACCTAGCAGAACAACTTGCCGCTATAGCAATAGCTTTCACGGCCCTTCTAAGCCCATCGCCCAAACAAGAAGGTGTGAAGATGCTCCACCTACCCGCCTAACTCCTGAGCTGGGATCAGGGGAGCACAGACTGTCAGGGGCGTCGGGTGCATTGGAGCGGAAAAGGGAGAAAGTTGTCCCGGTCCCCAGTCGCAACCCTGAAGCCGTGATCTGTGCATGGTGCAGCCGGCGTCACCGTCGAAGTCGTCTGCAGTGAGCAGAGGCTTCGAGTGCTCGTCTTCAGGAGGTCTGATGCTTTGGCTGGGGGCGACGTGGCTGTTTCATGCTGGAATATGGCCCAAAAAAGCACCTGAACATGAATTGTTAACTAATGAAACCTACGTAGCCTCTTGTAAGAATATGGTTGAGCAGTTTATGTGTTGGTGCTCCCAGTGCAAGTCCCAGAGTTAGATGCCATCGACTCATGGAAGTGGCAAGGACAGCAAGAAGTGCTGGGGACGACAGTGAAAGACATGGAATCCGACACCAGGACCCTGCCTCGCAAGGGCAGGGTCACACTGTGCTCCCCATCTTCAAGGTGAGCCGACCTAAGGCTTCAGTTTGAAGGAGCCTCTCTCTTGGGGGCGGCAAGTTTGCGAAGGGTCTTCCGATGTGCCGAAGAACCATCACTACTTTGCCAGTCATAGGGAGCCTAGAGGTGCAGTCTTGCAGTTCAAGTCGAAGCTGCCTCTTAGAATGCGCCGGGGACTTTGCGGAGTGCAGTCGGTTACAAGACTACCTCCAGTTCAGCCTCGGAGATGACGCCTAAAGTCTAAAGCTCAAGCCCAAAGCAGCAGAACTCCCTAAACTCTGCGTCCCTCGACGTCGTCTGGGCGTTGTTTTGCCGCAGCCCTCAAGATCAGGACATTGGCGGCTTGCGAGCAAAGACGCTTTAGTTGAGACCACAAAGAGGAAAAACACAGCAATATGCTGCACTCTTGTCATACTCTTACCCTTCAGTACCCAGTGACATCCCAGGAACCACAAGTGCCTCAATATATCTAAACTCCACCTTCCGAAGAGGGCAAGGCAAATCCCAAGTGCAGCGGTGCCGCGGTTGGTATGCACCTACTGTAAGCCCAAGCCTCCGCTCATCCTCAAACTATGTGCCGACAATTTCGTGCGAGTAAGAACCACCCTCCACGCCCGAGCAAGCACCTTTCAATGTCCAAGAATCTGGTCCGTGCGCTGGGGCGGCCTGACGGTGGAGGCAGCAATTTCGTACCATGCCAAGCGCAAGAGCGCGAAGGCATCGTGAATGAATGACCGCATGGAGTTCAGACCGATCTGATCCTCGCGACTTACCCTGGCCCGGCCCTGGCGCGAAGCAAACAAGACCAAGAGTCAACCTACGCAAACCTCTTCTTTTTCTCCTGGCCTGTAAAAGTCTCAAGTAGAAAACTGAACCAGGCAAGGAAGCGCAAAACATGGAAGGGAAGGAACATCTCGTCAACTGCATCCTTTTCCTCCACAAACTGTTGCACATTCTCATGCCTCGCTGAAGCTGATAGACGCTTGAAAACCTGTTTTTCAAAACCTATATTTTTACCTATTCTTAATAAACCTACATACCAGCACAATCAGACTCGAAAGAGCTCGCCTTCCGGGGGTCCTCAGGCCGGAGGAGGCACGAAAAACCTGAGGCAACGTGGCATTGATGCTGGTCCTACCATGTTCTGCATCTATTTGGGGCGTGTTTGGGGCTTCCGGATCAGATGCTGGAGGAGTGCAGGAGGTTTTGAGTACTCAGGTGCCCGACGAACTGGGCCCTGGGGGTGCTGCGGTGGGACCTGGGACCTGCCGCAAGAAGCAGGCACACACCTCTCCTGCATGACAAAGAGCAAGGTTTACCACGGCTGTTTGATTCCTTATGATTCTTCTTCTCGATGGTCCACGGTCCAAAGCATCGGGCCCTTGCAGAATCAAGATCATCTATGTAAGCTAAGATCCTGCCCTGGGTCTATGCAGTGGCTGAGTGTCAAGAGTCCTGAGTCTTCACTATTTCAATCCCACAAAAATCTGAAACCACGCGTGCTTTGGCAACAGCAAGTAGTTGTGCACCTCGTCGTGCACTTCCACGGCATCTGGCGTTGCTTCCTCAGCACCTGCCCCGGAGCTAAAATATAGGTGACGACCTCTGCCGACATCTTGCCCTGGTTTGTTGCAAGTACTGGGCAGCGAAAGCTATTGGAGTGCGAATGTAGGGAGTTGAGGTGCAGCCACGTCCAGGAATCAAGTTGCGGGCCTTTCCCTGCTCAACGCAACATCTGGGAGCACGACACATACGTTGCCTACCCGTCGAGGTGCACCCACGATATGTCGCTTGAGCGAGCATTTGCTCACAATTCCCGTGGTTTTAGAGACGACTTTGAAACCCTGGATCCCCGGCCTGGCCTGGCAACTCCATGACAACCCGAAGAAATGAACACACAAGGAACACTGCTGACACGATAAAAGGTAGCCTCCATGCAGCCTGTAGACTCTGTAGACCCCACGCTTGCACTGCACAGCCAAAGTTGGAATTGACCCGAATCTACTGAACTTGTTCCAGCCCTGCGCAGTTCATTACGGGCAAATTGCAATGAGAAAGTTCAGGAAACACAGCCGCATGGAGACCCGCCTGCAGTGTCACCTTCCGTGCCACCCGCGTCTCCAGCCAACGGCACGCTGAAGCTGCGGACTGACAGCTCGCCCGTGCCCCCTCCTGAGTGCATGCATGCTGAGGTCATGTGAGAATACTTAAGTTGTTGTGATATACAAGGAGGCATCATAAAAATAGTCCGCAAAGTCCCGTGACCCATGCGGCAATGCCATTCGGACGACACTTTCACGATTCTGGGATAACCATCAACGAGCCTCCCAACGCAAAAGATATCCTTTTGGGTGGTAAGCTGGTTGTAACGGTGTGATTCTTTACCAATCACAATGCATAATGCAGCAGAACCTGTGGCAGCTTGCTTGTCATGTGCAGTCCTGCCTGCTGGAAGCGTTCCGAATCCGAACGTGTTTCTGTTTTCTCATCTGCCGGAGGCCGTATGGCCCGTAACCTGTTGTCTTTCAGACTGCCTGCAGAGAATGCTAGAATGTGAAGGAATGAGATTCGTGAGGGCTGCGGGTTCTGGAGCCAGCGATACAACATTTCAGGTTCGAGGGCTTCACGTATGGATTAGCAGCTTGGGAATTCTTCTCATGTCGCGATCGAGCATCCATGGCTCAAGGCCGGCCTTGGCGCCGGGTCGGGTGCCCGAAGGTGCAAAGAATCTGCCGGGATGTCCGCCGGGATGTCACCTGAAGATGAAAAAGCTCCGGGAGGATACTTGTGAACGCAAGCCCTGTGATTTAGGCGAATCAAACATGAGTTGCTGCACCTGCAGAACGTCACTTGTATCTCATTCGCTGGCTCTGATGACCCTCTCGGAAGCAAAGGTTTCAGATTCACTGCTGACGGATGCGATTTTTGCGTGCAAGGCGGTAGTTTTTCGTCTTATGACATTGTGTCCCATGCTGCCGCTCAGCTAGAAAACCTGGAAATCTCCGGATCATGCGTCATGCGTTTGATGCATCAGCTCGGGCGGAGAGGTAATACCTTAAGACTGTAGAGATTGGGGTATTGGGGTCTTATCACTCCACACTCCATTGAACTTTGCAGGGCGGCCAGCTCCCCCTTATTTTGAGATATGAGTTGGCCGCATGCCAGGTCGTAGGATTGCATGCTCGGTGTCCCTCCCAAGTTCCGTGGCCTCGGCACCCACCACTTGCACTGTTTCACCTTTGAACATGATGTCGATGATCAGGACTTTAGAGTATTGTGAACCATGAAGCGAAGATGATCATGGTTACTTGGTTGCCAGAGGCTCGAGCGCAGGGTTTACTGCCCAAGCCCCTCGCTGCAACGGCCCCACGACACTGGAGGAGTGGCCAAAAACATCAGGAAACACAAACACAAAAGGAAACAAACACAACACCGTGGCCGCGGCAAATCAGTGGTTTGGTACTGCAACTCGAAGAGCAGCACATCAAGCGTTTTTGCGGTTTGGCGACAGTAACGACTGCTCGTTTTGAAAACCCTTGGTGGGCTGCTGGAAGAGCTCAGGCCTGCAAAGTAGAGCCACCAATTTGTAAATCTAGATCCACCTATGTCGCGTGTGTTGTGGAATGGAGTCATCAACTCTTGGACGGCTGGACACAATGCGCAAGAGTGCAAGTAATGCACGCAAAAGACAAACTGCAGGACCATGCAATAGTTAAACATCTCATACCGAGTACTGGACTGTGCTTCCAAAACACTCTGACCCCCTGCTTGCAGCCCTCCGGCACATTCAAGCAGAAACCACTATCGAAACCCTTGGCCGCAGAGCCTTCGTCTCGCGGTGCTGGTGCGCTGCTGCTTGCAGCCCCCGATGTCTGCGTATCTGGATGGTCCCAATCACCGGGATGGCAGAACCTTGCACTTGACTCCGCTGCGTGGGGAAAAACAATTCACTTTTCTGCAACTTTGCATAAAAATCGACAATATCACTGGTACATCATACTCTGTCTGGAGTTCCAATTTGTATATGAGTCCAGCCTGCAGTTAAACCCTGCGGCAACTCGCGTGCAAACACAAGAGACGCAGCAAAGTAACCTAAGCAGGAACTGCAAGGTTCGCCCGGGCGGTCCCATGCGAAAACCATTCACCATTCACTTCAAACTTCCTCACACGCATGAGATACTCTGCCCTGTGGGAGACAGGGCTTGCAAGGATGTCACCCGTCGCACACGCGGTACTCAGGGGGTTGGGCATTTCAGGGCACTCCAGAGATACTTATTTCAGAGTAGTTGGCACTTTGCGGGGTCACCTGGGTTGCTGGAGACTCCGAGGATGAACACCAGGGTACTGGGATCATCACCCCAGCTGACAAACGCTCCCCGGGATACTTTGAGCGGGTGCACTTGTGAGATACTCTGTCAAATGCAGCGAAGTATCAGAAATCATCAAGGAAGCCTTGATCATCAATCTGATCTGAAACAAGGCACTGCTTCCGATGCATTGGATTCTTTCGATAGCCTCAGGTTGCTGCTAACCCCGATCTTTGTCATGCTTTACGAATTAGTAAGGGTGCTGAAGCACATCTCTCTCTCGAATTCATGTCTCTCGGCTGACCAACGGGAACGAAAACTCGATTCCATTCCAACTACCCACAAACGAATTCAACTTGAATTAAACCCTTTGCAGTATGTACCATCGCCCCAAGGGGCAATCCCCTCCCCATCGGCATGGTGGTCGAGGACTTGCTGCCTCCATCTCTTCCTCGGGTGCGTTGGTCTTGCGGGCATCCACAAAACTGGGCCCACGGCCCACTGCAAAGCCGGGGGCTGTGCACACCTGCCCACCGGTTGTCGACAGGCCGCCGGCGGGCCCTATCCGCCCTAGCTTGATTCATCATCAACGACCTTTCCGATTGAGAGTCCGCTACCTGCTGCTATCGCTACGAGGACCCGTGCTGCAAACTATTGGGGTGGGGTAGTTGTGCAGGAGGTGCCCTGCCCTGCCACAAGAAGAAAGATGATGACTGCAAATCGTCGCGACTGATGAGTTTGAGAATCGGTGAAGGGTGTGAACCAAAGTCTCGAAACAATTTCAGCACCTTACAATACTTCGCCTTCGCCGCCCATCTGCAGCAGCAAATCTGAATCCAAAAGCACTGTCAGGTCTATGGGCAGCCAAAGCCGATCGGCCGAAAACCAAGCTAGAAATAGCCGGGGCTGCCGGAACTCAGAAGCTGAAGAATCCCTGCAGCTTGTTGGAGAAGCGGCTGAAGTAAACACGCCGAGTTCGACACGCGGCATAGGCCCTTGGCTTTGCACTGGTTTTTGATAGCACCTTCCTTTCCCATTTTACTGCTACGTCACTACATCGGCTCCGGTTGTGATGATCATGCTTTGAACTGGTCTGCGTGCGAGTGCAAACCTTACTCTGTTCCTGAGTGACGGTTGTGACAATGGTCAATCAGGCTGGGGTTACGACACAGGCTCATGTTGGCTACGCTTGTCATGGTTTGGTGTGCTTCTCCAACTTGCTGCTATAGTTGCAACCAGTGGTTTGGCCATACTCTTCTGAAGCTTCACTGAAAATTCATAGAACGTGTCGAAAGAACCAAACCCAAAACTGTGGCTTTATTGTCATCGCTGCCTGCTTAAATAAGCCCAGTGCACATACACAGTGAACCCCGCTTGTTGCCACGTGTGACATTCGACACGCACACTCACCACGCAGCCCTGACAAACAGCCTTATGCCAAGCGACGGGAAGATCCCTCTGGTACCGCCTGTCTCAGAAGGCCAGGGGCCGACAATTGCCAAAATTCTGCCTTGTTTCTGCCTAGTAAGGCTTGGCATGGACCCAAGAACAAGACTCGATGGAGTAACTAGCAAGTGCCCGGGCTGCCAGGGTCAGTTATGAGTCCATAGGCCATAGGCCACATGCGCAAGCAACCCGCGAACATGCATGAGCAGAAATGCACGAGCACGGCGTGGCGGCCGAAGAAAATGAAACAGCGCAAATACTGCCCCAACACAGAACTCAGAGAAAATATCCACGAAAAAAAGTCAACAGGAAGACATGCAAACACAAGTGCATGTACAAAACATGGAAGCACTCGAACAGAACATGCTTCGAGTTGCCACATCTTGCTTTTGCAGTTGCAGCTTCAGCGTTCCTGGTGCCCCGTGGTTGGCTTCTGGATTCCTTGCCCGTAAATGCCTGCGCCGTCTACCCTAGCTTGTTTGGCATGTCCTGGCTTTCGCATTGACCGTGCTGGCGCACTGCCGAAAGGCAATTTCAGACGGCATGTGGCTTCTCGGGACACGCAATCCTGAAGTCAATTGGAATTCATTTTACCAGTGCTTCTTCGTAATGTCGAGGCTCCCCACCGCCCAAGACCGACATAAGGCTGGAGGGCTGGAGAGCAAAATACCCGCACCCCAAGTCCGGAAATCCTCATGTCCAGAAACATCCAGAAATCCGAAAGGTTCTTGGAAACCCCTCTAACTGCAACGAACACTGTGGCTTGCTCTCATCCGAATCTGCTTCCCCCAATTCCTTTTACAACCCTGCCCGGTTCCCCGTTATCGAAAAAATGGAAGCACAAACTAGAACCCAATCTCTGCACATGTAGTGGGCCCTGTCCGATTGCTAGAATACGCACCTATCCCCCGATGCATTGCCTAACGATTAAAGCGAAATTACCTATTGAGACTGGTTACCTAAAATGTGGCAACATGGGGCAGCCAATGCTTAATTGCACTACCCGCCTCACTTGCTGCACTGTCCGCGCTCTGTCGTCGCTTTTTCTTCTTCTTCCTTTTCTTCTCCTGGCCCGGAACAAAATTGCTGCTGCGCAATCAACGAGCACGAAGATTCAGCAACAACAGCTTGGAGCGATATGCTCCCGACATCTCATGACCGTTACTCCGGCTCAGCCTTGCCGCTGCTTCTGCTTTCAGTGCTTGGCGAATCCTTGGCGTTTCCGATCACAAGGTAAAAGCCCAAAAAACAAATAGTTGTGCAAGAATCCCTCGGCATTTGCGAAGAACTCAGTCAAGTCGTGCTGGGGGGGGGGGGATCATAGGCGGTTTCGCTGAAATGATTCGGTGCAATAGATAAACATCAAGACGCCTCTGCAGATCTCACCTTCAATTTGTAAGTGGGGGGTTGCATCCGGATCGTCTGGGACCAGAGCTTGTGTTTGGGCTTGGAGTCGAGGCTCAGAATTGAGGCAGGCACGCTAAATCTTCCACAGTTTGACAAGCGAGTCGGCAAAAGCAAAAAATCGCAGATTTTTGTGGAAACCGCTTTTCGTGATGGGTATGCCTGCAACACAACCACATCACGAGCCGACAGGATTGTAGTCTATGGGGTTCAGCGGTTCAGCTGCTAACCACGAGCCCTCGCCAAGCCGCAACAACGCCTGGAGGTGGCACCGGGCTTCGCGAGCGCGCTGTCTCTTCCTGATGGACATGCACAGACCGAGCCACGGTGTGATTCATGTTTCTCTGATCTCTTCGAGAAGACACGGCTGGGCATAGAAGGGAAACCGTATGTGTTTATAGAAGTTCCACTCAAAATGCCCCCGCATAGAAACAGTCTCTTTTGGTCCTCCTCGCAAATCGCCCCTCCCGGGGCAGGGCTGGCCGACCGTGCCCGCGGACGCTGCACCTTTCTGAACATATGAGAAACCTTTTGCCACTTTCGGCCAATGTGATGGCAATTTCAACAATCGTTTCTGCAAGCTTCTTCCGGTGTTGCACCGCCGGTAACATAGATCAAGGAGAACCAATACGTCGGCGAGACACTGGTGCTAGCTGATCCGGCGCCGCTATCGGCGGCGGCAGATGGCGGGATGATGGTCCCGACCTTGCTGCAACGTGCTGACGTGTTGGTCATCAGGACGAACTGAACAACTCGGCAATAAATTATTTTGCCGATTTGCAGGTCCCCACTTGTCGATGTTGGCGGCTCTAACGCAATCAATCGATACTCGAACCTTGCAGGGTGCACATGTTTATGACAAAGGAAACGGCTCAACCGGAACTCACGGCATCGGCCTCTCGCTGGGAGGTGTGGCCTCACGTGCCCCATCCATCAAATGGGGGTCGCGTGCCACAGCTTCGGGCAGAAATGGCCACAGGATACGTGAATTCGACCTATGCAGCTTGACTCGACAGACTTGCGACAAGAAGCACGCACCAACTCATTTCACGCACAACGTCTAGGCACAAGAGCTGGATGGCAATGCAGACGGCATCGCGACAAGCTTCAACAGTGTCTATGGTCATGTTGCATTGGGCCCCGGCCCCATCCAGCATAACCTCCGCCAACTCATCGGCCAGCGACACCAAATCTAGTGCCATGGCGCTAGCGGACGGTCCACCAAAACACATATGCACAGACTGGCAAGGGCTTCAAAACATCGGATATGCTTTCCAACCGGAGAAATGGCAACAGCTGCATTATATGAAATGGTCGTATCTCCACTATGACTACAAAGCCCGCCTACTTATCCTTGTGCACCTCGGTCCTTCACGATGTTTCCCAATCGCGGTTGTGTCTAAGGGTGTGGATCCGAAATCCGGCCTTGCAGGGCATTTGGTGCAACAACTCACACCTCGACGTTCGCGAAGGTAGGACAGCAGCAACTCTTCCAAGAATGGTGCAACGCTGGGGGTGGAGCGGGGCAACGAGTCCCCAAAATTCATGCGCAATCTAGAACGTTCTGAGATCAAATCAAACATTTAAAAAATCTGCGCAGCTCATCTTCGCGAGCATAAGGCAAAACCACCACACATGGCCGCCAGCTCCCAACCAACGAATCCCTGGCGGCCACACGGCGCTAGGGCGCGCCCGGGCATTGCCGGGACCGGCACATTCTGATGTGCCGGCCCTGGACGAGGTCCTTGATCTCGCCGACCCGAACGAGCCGACCCACGTTCTTCTGGGAGCTGGACCCAGCTGCTGGCGGAAAAAGGTGTGTTATAAAAGCTAAAAAAGGGTGTTTTCAAACATTTTCTTTCGTCTCGCATGTTCCTGCGAGATGCCACGGCGACTCAGTGAGACTTGTTTTGTTCGCATTTGGGCCTCGGCTGCGCGAGCGGCCGCCAGAACGTCAGGGTGCCAGGCGGCAGCGCCGAGCTTGCCGCAGTTCAGGGTAAGCTATGGTAAGCTCGGTGCTTGCGGTCGACAGCCTGGTCTAGGGCGAGGCCCGGTTGATGGTCAGCCCGTGGGCGGGGCTGGCCGTCCGGCGGACTGGGCTCACGATTGTGGCATCCACCGCGATTTGAGCTCCTTGCCAAATGGCGAGGCCATTGGCAACCACCTCTATGTGGCGTCCGTCGTCCGCTGGTACGTGCAGGTCGCTTGTTTTACGGCCAGACTTCGGAATTCCAAGGGTTCGCCCTCGGCCAACACGAGGCACTGCACCGGGCAGACTCGCAGTTGCGGCAGAGCGCGTCACTCATGGCCTCTCTTGATGACCTCTACGTGTTTTGAGACGCACACGGGCATTTCCGCCAACTTGGGTAAGACGCGTGTCTTCAACTACGAAGGGCCCGCGCCGCCCGGAATCGCCGGCTTGAGGTCCGAGGTAGCAACCAGCCCCCCAGCAACGAGGCTTCGTCGCAAAGCTCCTCCTCAACCACGCGCTCCGAACGGTCCCTCCCGACCTCATAGCACCATATGCTGCAGCACATGACGCGGCCATATGGGGCACCCTCCAGGCTTGTTTGGGCACCGCCGCGGAGGAGGCATGCCCCGCTAGAGACATCGCCTTACTCTGGGGCCGAAACGGGTCGAGCGACTGCAGCGTACTGGGCGGCCTGGGCCGATGCCCTCGCTGTGCTCCGCGAGAGGCGCCCGGCCTTAACGGAGTGGGCGGTCCGCTGCCTCACTGACGCGCATGGACCAGCATACCTCCGAACAGCTGGGATGCTTGCAGCCGCAGGTTGGAGCCTGACCGACCTGAAGGGACCACCGAGCCCGGTGAATGGAAGCATGGGTGGCAACACCGTGCGTGCGTACTTAACCTTTTCTTCCGCGACCATGTGCTGTTCTTGCGCTCCCAGGCTGGTCACGCCACTGCTTGGCTCTAGGACTGCTCACTGCTCCAGGCCATCCCCAGCGACCCCCATACCTCGCTCACCTCCGAAACAATGCAGACCGCGACTCCGGCTCCCACTGCCGCTCGCCGCGTGCCCGCGGACGGGTTTGTGGCCGGGCGTGGTGAAAGGTTGCCCGGGAAGCTGTTGGACCTGAGGGACACGCCCAGCACTGGCTCGGCAACACCGCCGCACCGGGTGTCTCGCCTTTGACCTCGTCATCTATGGCGCCGCTGGGTGGAGCCTTTTGCTGCGATGAGACCTTCGTCTCGTCTCTAACGCGTGACGGCAGTACGGCTGGTCAGGCGCCTTGTCGCCCTCCGCGCCCACGGAGTTCCGCCAGTAGTGTGAGCCCCGGCAAAAGCTGCGTCTTCATCACAATGTCCACAGGCAAAACGAAAGCGCATGCAGGGCCACCAGAATCCGCCACATGGATGGGTAACCAAGAGCTCCACTACAGGCGCCAGCTCGGGGCACACGCCTGCTCGCTCCTTGAGCTCCGGTGACGAGCCCAAGGGCAACTCGAAGGGATTGTGGGAGGAAGTGCGGACCGTGTCCTCGAAAGGCTACCTCGGGACCATCGGCAAAGGGAACGTGAAGCCCAGCCCCAAGCGCTGCACCAACAAGGAGACAGACGAGACTGCCGGCGACAAGATGGAGTCGGAGACGGACCCCGCCGTCCTCGAGGAGATCCACAAGCTCGAGACGAAGCTGGCCGTGCTCGAGGACAAGGCGGAGCTCGAAGCGAGCGCTATCGCCGCCGATGGCGTCCGTGGGACGACTGCCGGCGGCGGACGACCCCGAAGGGTTCTTGGCTGTTGCGAGGGCCCGACGGAACAGGACATCATCACGGAGGCAGACTGCATTCGAGGCCACTGAGAGCAGGCCTTGATCCACGTCAACCAGCGCCACGAGCACGACGATACCCATAGCGGGACACGAGCCGAGGCTTTCACCGGCTACCTTTGCGCCATGGCGGCAAAAATTGTGACTGGAAGGACTTTACCTTCGCCAATTGCCAGGCCCTCCTCGAGAAAGCCAACGACCTCTCCCAAAGCAATACGGCTCTGAGGGCTACACAGCAACCAACCGCGCACGACGCTGACGAGATCTACACCACCTTCGGGATGTTCACCCACGGAGGTGTGCACGGCCTTACGAAGGCCACGAAGGAGAATGAGGCCGTGGCCTGCTTCTTGAATCACCTCGGGAAGAAACACCTCGGAGAGGCCGCTACCGGGAGCTCGATCTCGATCACCTGTGGGGTGAACTCAGGCGTACACCGTGACGCCAACAATCGACGAAACTCCTCCAACTATACCGCCACTTTTGGTCAAGGAGACGGCGGACAGCTATGGCTGGAATGCCAGATCGACGAGGACCGAGCACAAACAAGGACGTTGTGCGGCCAGGCCGGGTTTGATGGTCATGATGGAGATTGGTGGGATTGAGGGGACGATCGAGGCAATGACCCTCAACAAAACCGTGATTGAGCCGGTGACACGGGATGATTACATCAACTTCCTGAGGATCCCTGAAGTCCAAGAGAACGCCTTCCACTTTTTTTCTCCACCTCGCCTAAGGAACTCGCCGGAATGCCCCCTCGATTCCGTGACGCGGCCACGGAGCTGGTTAAGGACCAACTCATTGAAGGCCGCGAAGTTGTACTGCGTGGCCTTCGGAGCTGAAGCTCAGGCCTGCATGGAAGGACCCGAAGAGGCCCAGTTTTCTGTAGTTTCTCCACGGGACTTTGAAGAAGGGGACCCTCCCCTGAGAAAGTTGCCGAACTCGCGGTCACTGTCACGGTCTGCTTGGTTGGGCGGCATCGTAGCCCTGCTCACGAAGGCTGCCAGCGGCGCCCGTGCTCGAATGGTCGCAAACAATTAACCCACGAGGCCCAATAGGCGGAGGGTGCTGCGTCGACTGCCGAGCGCCACCCAAGGCCACCGAACCGCAAGGGGAGATGCGCGAGGCGCTGCGGGCAGCGGGTGTCGGGTGCTTTGGAATAGCAAGGCCGCTAGGCATGCACGGACGGCGGCGTCATGATCGTCACATGCTCGCGTGCGGAGGCATGCGTCGCGCCGGGCGGCAGTATCCGAAGCAGATAGTTTGCGCGCGGCGAGGCACAAAACAGCAGGAGGAGCCACGCGAACTGCAGATCGCCGACCGCAGGGAGACGGCTGAGCAGCTGGTCTTGGACAACGCGTTTGCGGCCGAGCTCGCGGCGCACGAAAGCTTCGCTCCCCAGCGGTGCACCCAGCACCAGCAGCCCTCGCTGGTCAGCACGCAAGGACCATGCGCCTGTCCAGACCGGGTCCGCACCGACCGGCTGGAGGCGGGCAAGGCCGCTGGGTTCCTCACCTGCCGCATTCCAAACGCGGGTCTTGCCTTCATGCAAACGAATGCGCGCATGGCGCCACAGCGCATCTTCCAAGGCACCGTGCAGTTCCCCGGTGCGTTCCGGTGTCGACACGACGTACATGTCGTCCAAGAAAGCGAAGATCTCCCACTTGTCGATGGGGGAGGCCTCGGAAAGGGCCGCTTGCATCAACTTGTTGACAGCTCGGCCTGCAACCAGCAACAAGTCATCGACGTGGCTGCCGATGTAGCCGATGGGAGCACTTTGGAACTGGTCACCTGTCCTCTTCCTCAAAACGAAGATGCAGCCAAAGCACATCGCTCGAAGCCCTAGGACTCGTTCTTGTAGACGATCGTGATAGCCTTGATGCCGTCCTGGAAGTCGCCCCACCATATGCTCGGACACTCAGGCGATTGCACAAGCCCTGATGCAAGAGACGGTCCCCCCACCATTCATGCGGCGAGGTGGCCAACCCAAATATAGTCTTCTTGGTTTTCAGCAGATGCCATAACCCCCCTTCCTCACTTGTAATATTTGTAGAGAAGCTGTCCCTTCCATCTCCAACACCGCCAACCTTGATGGCGAGGCCCCTCTCCTGAGTGACGTCCTGGCTGACTCGTCCAAAACGCCTCCGCTCACCTCCCGCATGGGATGAGCTTGCTTGCATGCTCGGGATTTTTAGGGGTTTGGTCGTGGGTTTGGTTGGATCCGGTAGTCTGCTGCACTGGGACCGCGCCCGGATGTTTGTAAAAAGGTCCGTGAGAAAAACCTGGGAGTAGACCCGGAAAGCCCGTTTGCGGCTAGTGAAAGAACAAGTCCTCGCTCCTTGTCAGATAGCCTCCGGTCAAGAAGGCACCTTGAATGTCACCCGCCACCACCATCCACTTGTCCTTCTCCTGCAGTCCATTGGCCAAAAGCTGCAGGAGACACAACAAACCAGGGCGTGAAAGCGTGGACGCGTTGGTTGTCAAGTCCTCAACCCCGGGATCTGGGTCTCGGTGAAGGAGGCGAGGTAGAGCGGTCGGCCTTGACAGGTGGCGCACTTCATCCCCTTCACAGCCTTGACCACTCGTGGCTCACAACCGGCCAGCCGAAGGTGTCGACATAGCTCTTCGCATCGGGGGTGGCCAAGGTTTTGAGGTAGTCGACGAATGGCCGCCTGGAGGATGCCGGGGACTCCATCTTCAAACGTGACGCCGCTGCCATATGCTGCCATCGAGGGGCACTTCACGCTTCTCGTCGTCACCCTCAGGGCCCACCATGTGCACCTCGTACGGCCTGTGCTGACTCTCAAATTTCTTGGTGGCGGTCCGTGGCTTGATCATCACGACCCAGTTGTCGTCACCATCACCGAACTCGTACGCGACATACTCATGAACAGGCCGGGATCTCCATTGTCCATTGCCCCGCTCTCGATCTGCAGTCACCAATCGATGTGGCTCCGGCCCGTCCTTTACGCACCCCAGATCGGCGAAGAGGATCAGGGAACCGATCTGTGAAGCAGTTGGCTCGCTTCGCCTCTGCTCACGTCGATCACTGAAGGCAGGCTTCTCTTCAGTGAGCCGCAACCACTCGTCTTCGTCCTCTTGGGCCAATGCCTTGCTTTGCCCATGCCGCATCATGGTAGACCAGGATGCCGAAGTCAGCCTCGGGGACCAAGCCCTCATCTTTGTACATCTTGGCTCGGGCCGTTTTCATATTCGTGAACTTCAGGTCGGCGAACGTGGGAGCTTTCTGCAACTGCTGGGCTAGTGACACGCTGCATGTGGGGTTGTATAATAACCCCGTATAAAGATCCTTATCCCTGGTGGTTGCCTCGGCGCCAAATCGACCGCCGACTTCGACACCCACAACAACTGAGCAGCAGCGACGGGCGCATACGAGTTCAGGGTAAGTCTGACGGCGTCTCCGCCGCGCGGCGCCATCGATGGCGCGGCCAGGGCGTCCGCACCCGGTTGAGCGTCACCGGCCCTAGTGATGGGGCTGACGATGGTGGCATCTACGGCTTGCTGCAAGCCATGCCAAAGAGCAAGTCCTCCGTTCGCGACAAGTTCGGTGCGGCGGCCGTCAGCGACCGGCACATCGATGTTCATGTCGGCCAAGCGGACATTACGGGCAACACGCGCGCCGGCTTCTTGGCAGACCCTCGCAGCGGCCCGTTCAAGAAGGAGGGCCCGGAGGCGAGCACTCCGGAAGTTGCGCAGGCAGCCCTGTGATCGCCGAGTGAGTCGAGGCGACCGGCAGGCGCAAGTACGCGGGGCGACCGGCAGTGGCATATCAGGACGCGGAACAATGGCGAAGGCACCGTCAGTTCAGCGGAGGTGGGAAACACGGCGAAGGCCCGTGCAGCATGCGGCCGAGCTTGTGACAGCAGCAGCTCTCGAGATGCGGCATCAAGGTGAGAAAGATGCAACTCTAACGCGCGCTTAGCACGAGCACGGGAAGCCCCATGTTGCTAGCCTTGTCCCTGAATGTCGTTATCGTTATTTTTTCTTCTTACAGTTTTGTACATGAAAATTGTGCTATTGTTTTGTTATCGTTTTACTTTTTTCTGATCGTTGTCCCATAGAAAACCATCCAAAACCCTAAAAGGACATGCCAAGACTACACCTAAAGGCGCGGGGTTAATATACAGTCCCTGGTGAAAGTCGAGGAAGCCGAATCTCCGATCAAGTGCTTGAGCGATTGTAGATCGCTCTACGATCACACCCGCCGAAAGGGCGTGCCACGGGTTCCTACAGACCGCAGATTGGCAATCGACCTCGCGGCCCTCCGCCAAGTCCCTCAAGAGCGAGAAATGGGCTACGAAACTTCCTGGGGTGGATGCGGAGCAACTTGCAGGACGGCGACAGCCTGACAAAGCCTGGTGGGAGTCAAAAAAGCACTTTTGATGGTGCCGCTTGACCTGTCAGAAGACGTCCAAGCCAGCATTTTTTGTGAGACAAAGAGAACCAATGTGTTCAAGCTGTCCTTCGTACTCCGCAGTGCAGTGTTGAGAAGTCGGATTCGTCCAAAAACGACGCTCGTCACTAGGACAGCCTTCTTGACGAGATTTCGGAATTACTAGTTGGCCACTGTAAACCACGACGAATAGTAGTACAATGGAATTTCGCAAATTGGTCATATGATTTGCAGCGGCAATCGAACGTACCGGACAGAACATTGACGCTTAGGTCAAGGGAAATGTTCAGAAAGGGGAGCCGCAGGCAGAGAAGACGAAGCCGGAAGTGCGCCGAAGGCACGGGTGGACGTTGGGAACCCTGCATCAAAGGTTGGGGCCGCATGCCGCCGAAGCTTTCGAGTAACGCAGAGAGTGCGTCACACCATGAAGTCCTATGAAACCCAGTACGTGGCATGCGCTTAGCTGCCGCAGCCTCTGCGCTTGCGAAAGATACGCATGTTTGCAAAAACCAACAGCTTGCACAGAACCCTTCCTCGGCGTGTTTGCGCCACGTTGCCCGTTGTCCTGACAATCATCTTTGCAAAACATCGTGCAAAACCCTATGCAACTGCATCCGTTCGCGAAGTGGTGTTTTAAACACGCCCTTGTTCTCCTGTTTGCTGCGTCGTGTCGGGGGCTACCTTCAACAACCAGCACCGCTGCCCCAAGGCCGGCGCGTCGCCGTCCCGGGTGGCCAACAATTCATGCACAAATGTAAGCTAATTAAAAACATTAGGGGGGGCTAGGATTGTAGTTTCAATAGTGCCAACATTACAGCAGTACTAATGAAACCGAAAGGACCTTCGGGCTTAGGGCTGACTGTCTGCTACAGCCGCACGGCTGCGTGATGGACGGTCTCTGGGCCTGGCTCACTATCCCTGTCAATCCGACTCATAGACGGATGCGCCGAAACCCCGTTAATCTTAAAATCAAAACCCGGAAATCAACTTTTACATAAGGGCTACGGGGGGGCCCGTTCATGATCAAGCCGCAGTTTCTTGCTTGAATGTTTTGCTGCCACCGCTGCTTCGGAAGCACACCCGAACACCTGGCCAGATCACGTTTTTCTGTTTTCGCGTTTGCCGGTTCAAGTCATGGTGTGAGACACCACGGGGCGCCGAAACCGATTGAGTCCCCCGTAATGTTCAGGAGGCGAACGCCATGCCGTTCACCGGAATGATGGCTGAATTGTGGTGAGGTCTCAGGCCGCGCGGGCAGGGAGGTGGCTGGGAGCGGGAGGGGGGGGTGGGGCATCCTCGAGACTCTCGCGCAAAAAGCAAGATTTCTGGTAGCACCAGGAAGTTGCATCACGGAGCAGTTCGAGCCTGGCAGAGCACGCCCGCTGAGTCCGCCAGTTCGGTATACGGAGCGCGTAGTCAGCCCGGTGTTCGTCTGTCCAAGCATATGAGCGCAATTGCTAGCGCCGAATTGGAAGTTTTGTCGATCGAGGACTTTGCAGGTTGCGGCTAGTAGCGGGCGCCTGCAACAAGCTTTGTCGAAGGCTGATCACTGACGGAACAGCGCGGAGACGCAATGCCTCGTTGAACAGCACTGGGCGCGATGCCCCCCAACAAGATGGAGAGAACCGACGCCTGCAACCAGCAGGAATCTGTGCCTAGACTGAAGGCCGGCATTCCGAAGGTATGATCTATCGCCGAACTTCTGGGAAATTCTGGCACGAGCCGCTGACGAAAACTTGAAACGAACAACGGGACGTGCATGACTTGTCCGATTTGACAGCGGCAGCGATTGCAGAGCAAGGCAAGTTGCGGTGAGGATAGCAGGCTGAGCAACCGTTCGAGGCCACGTGGCTTGCATCGAACTGCAGGGAGGGACTCGAACCCTTCCTCCACCGAGCAACCACTCAAGGCCCCGTAGCCTGGTGACGGCGGTGGTCTTGTGCCGCCAAGCTCCAACGTCGTGTTCTCAGTCTACCGCGCGGGACATTTCCGGTTCCAAGGGCCTAGGGGCGTTGCCGCGTCGATGAAACGTCCATGCTGAAGACTGATGACATCCGGGGGCTGGCCGGGAATGCTTGGATGAGGGCAATACAGATTGGGCTTCCGCGTTGCTTTTGCCGGGATTACTTCCTTTGTCTGCCTCTTCCAGCATTGCTGGTGGTGTCTGCGTCGTTTTGGCTGTCGCAGAAATCGCTCAGGTGGTTCATGCATTCCACAAGGCGGCCTGGAAATTCCTGTCGCACCTGCAACCAGCATCTTAGTTCTTCCTTCTGCCGGCGTTGTGACGCTCGTATTTGCTATCGTGGCGACAGCTATGCACTAACTTTGCGTTGCCGGCCTCACCTTAAACTTCTATGCACAAGGCTCGCAAACAGCTCTACAAGCCTTTTCTGTCAGCATGCGCTGCTTGCGGCGAAGCTTGCTACAGAATGGACACCCAACAGGGTCCTAGCCTTCGGCAACATTGAGCTGCAAATTCTGGGTCGTTCTTGTCTTTGAATGGCGTAGACAATGGTGCGAGGCGCAGGATAGCTGGTGCTCGCCCTGAGCATTGCATGGGCGTAGCGCGCTGCTGGCTTCAGCAGCTTGCGCAAGCACTGGCCCGAGGTGGAGGATGGAGTCGGCCTAGCTCCATATAGGCAGGCATGCCTCTACTCAACTATGGTGCCCAATAGTGGGTGAAAGCTGAGTCAGATCCCATCCTCCGCGTCAGACCGAGCCTTCCCCGGAGCATTAACTCACGGTCGTGCCGGGGGAGCTTCGAGATTGCAGACTTCAAGCTCTCGTATTGGGGATCACAAACTGGGTCTGTAGTGCGTGCCCAGTGGCTGCCAGTGGCTGGAACCGCTGACTTGTATGGGGGTTTGCAGAACTAGGGCCGGGGATCACCAGCGCTATGTGACGTCGAATGAGATGATGGTGACGATGATGATGGTGCTGGTGGTGGTGGCTATGCCCATGCTCATGATGCTGGCATATGCTAGCACTGTGCGGCAGGGGCGGGGCGATGATGACAATCACAGTGACGACGAGGATGGCGATCAAGAGAACGATGAACCTAGGGATACTGCTTGTGAACGAAGATGAGGATGAGGTTGTGAATGAAGAAGCTGGTCGTGGTGACAGCCACAAGAATCCAAATGATGATTGTGATGAAGACGATGATGCTGATGATGCTGCTGGTGACAATGGTAATGATGATAATGATGGTGATGATGGTGATGAAGGTGATGATAGTGATGATCGTGATGATGGTGCTCATGATCAACATGTTAAGGATCGTGATGAAGCCGGTGATGATGATGATAAGGATGATGATGATGATGATGATGATGATGGTGATGATGAAGGCGACGGGGATGTGATAACGATTGCTGTGAGTGTGAATGCTTCGACTTGTGCTGCTATCGTTGCCTTTACAGTACTAGACTCTGCCAGAAGTCCAGACTGAAATCCAATATTTGTAACTTTCGAGAAAAGGTCTGGTCTCGAGGGCCACACATCTTTAAGCAAGTCTTGAAGCCATCATCGCCCACTCTATGTTGTCCGCAATTTCAATCCGATCCCCACTGGCTAGGACCGAATGGGGCCACAGTGGCCAAGCAGGCCAAGAGCTGATTCTTCGCTCGACTCCCGCTTTGGAGAGCCTGTCGGTTGTGCCGCCACCATACTACGGCTGCCGCCAAGCGTGATTAGTGATTAGTACTGTCAGCTGCTGGAT